GGTGCTCAAGGCCAGGTTGGCCAGAGCTTTGGGTGAGGTGCCCCTGCCCTTGGTAGGTGGGTTGGAACTAGATGATCTTAAGGTCCTATCCAACCCTAACTATTCTATGATTTTATAACTCTATAATATATATACACACACATAATATATATACAGTGTTACATATATATACACATATATGTATATTATTAGTGTAGGCATGAGCTAGGTGGATGGAAACCTTTGCCACAAGAACAGCTCTGTCCCATAGTGTGACAAAGATTGCGTTCCATCTTGCTCTTAGGACATCTTAAACCCTGCTATATCCCCCCTTAAAGCCAACCCGTAATGAAAGCATATCCATGCTAGCCTTCACCTTTGCAAAACTCATGACAGTGTACCTACACAGTTCAGATTTTCTGAAGTCATCTCATTTTCTAAAGGCATGGAACTCAATTTCAGATTAAGTCTGCCATTTGACTGATTTAACTGTCTCTGATCCATCAAAATGGATTGGTTCATTTTACGTTAAAAAGCACTGACTTCATTGAACATAGTGTCCAGCTTTATTCCAGTCCATTTCAGACCTACCTGAAGAGCTTGATACGCAGTGACCTGATGTCCTTGTCCCAGATGCATTATAGATTTCAGTTTCTCAGATTTTGATGACGCTTATGTTCCTCTGTCTTGAAAAGATTCCCTAAATGATTTTGTCTTCTACAGGCACCAGTGATTACAATGCACTACAGTCAGAGAATTGCTGAGGTGAGTAGCTCGAGAGAGGACACCTTCAACACCGGAGAGGGGGGGAGATCAGGGTCCAGGAGCCTCAGAGGGACAAGAGCCACCGAGGGAGCCTCAAGACCTCGACAGGACCTGCCCAGGAGCCGGCAGCTCAGCTGACGAGAGCGAGCAGCTGACTCACAGGGGGCGGAGCCAGGAGCAGTGGCACCATCCGTGGCTGGGTGAAAACCTGCCCCAGGGAGCGCGGCGAGGGAGTTTGCGCGGCAGTTCGAGCGGGATGGTGAGCGCTCCCCTGAGGAACAGGGCCTGGTCTGCGAGCTCTGCTCTGGCTGCCCCGGCGGTGCCCAGCGTAGGCACCCAGACAGAGCCGATGAGAGGGGAGGCTGCAGTGCAGAGCTCGGGGTGCAGAGAGGAGAGTGCCTGCACTGGTCTGGTGAGGGGAGGGTGCACAATGGGCAGGGCTGCACTCGCTGCGGGATGCTGTTAATAGGCTGCGAGATGTCAGGGAAGCTGAGAGGAAGCAGGAATGCTTGCTCCTGGCGCAAACTGCAGGGGCCTCGAGCTTCCCCTCTAGCTCATGAAGGAAAGAAGGAGGCCGTTAACCTGGGAAGCTGGGAATTAGTGACAAAAAAAAAAAAAAATCAACAAGAAAAGGAGGAAACGGACAATCAAAAGCAAGGGGCTTCCTCCTAAATCTGTTGTCCCCATCCAGAACCGCTTTGCTGTCCTGCAGGGGGCTGATGAGGAAGCGCACTCGAGCCAGAAACAGCCGGCTGATGCACTGGTAAAGAAGATCTCTACTGGTGCTGCCAGGAAAAAGCGGTGGGTTGTAGTAGTAGGGGACTCTGCTTTGAAAGGGACAGAAGCACTCGTCTGTTGGCCTGATGTGGACTCAAGGGAGGTGTGTTGCCTACCGGGGGCATGGATCAGGGATGTGACAGAGAGGCTGCCTGCTCTAGTAAGTCCCATGGACTATTACCCACTTCTGGTGATACATGTGGGTGCTAGGGGTATAGATTGTAGTAGCCTGGGGAACATAAAGAAGGACTACAGAGCCCTGGGAGAGGTGGTTAGGGGCTCTGGAGCTCAGAATGTCTTTTCGTCAATTCTCCAGGATACAGGGGAGGACCTAAAAAAAGCTAGGAGGATTGGCCAGGTTAATAACTGGTTAGAAGGGTGGTGTCATAGTCAGGGGTTTGGGTGCCTTGAACATGGGACCCAAGTTTGTAGGCCAGGTCTACTGGGGGCTGGTGGAGCTGGGGGTTTTGGTAGGAGGCTTGCCAGACTGGTCAAGGAGGCTTTAAACTAGATGTGTTGGGGGAGGGGGGCATCATTCCATTCCAACACACCCAGTCAGTTGCCAGCACCTATAATAAATGCTCGGAGCAATGTACATTCCAGCCGCTCCAGCCAATGAGCTGGCTTTATTTGGAGCTTGGCTCAGATGCCTCTATACAAACACCCATAGCATGGGGAACAAACAAGAGGAATTAGAGGTGTGTGCACGTCTATAGGGGTATGATATAATAGGCATCACAGAAACATGGTGGGATGGCTCCTATGACTGAAGTGTTCGAAGGGAAGGTTACAGGCTTTTTAGAAAAGACAGGCCTGGCAGGCGGGGAGGGGGAGTTGCCCTTTATGTTAGGGATAGGCTGGAGAGTATGGAACTCTGTCTGGGGACAGGTGAGCAGTTAACAGAGAGTTTGTGGGTCAGGGTTAAAGGGAATATAGCTATGGGAGACATTACTGTGGGGATCTGTTACAGACCGCCTGATCAAGGAGAACCTGCAGATGAAGCACTCCATAGACAGATAGGAAAAGCCTCACGCTCACAGGCCCTTGTTCTCATGGGTGACTTCAACCACCCTGACATCTGTTGGAATGATGGCATGGCCCAGCACAAGCAATCCAGGAGGTTCCTCGATTGTGTGGAGACAACTTCCTTCTGCAAGTAATAGAGGAGCTGACAAGGAGAGGTGCCATGCTTGACCTCGTGCTCACCAACACAGAAGGACTAGTTGGAAATGTGATGCTCCAGGGCAGCCTTGGATGCAGCGATCATGAGACGGTTGAATTTGAGATCCTCAGGACAGTGAGAAGAGTGTGCAGCAAGCTTCCTTCCCTGGACTTCAAAAGAGCAGACTTTGGCCTCTTCAGGAACCTGCTTAGGAAGGTTCCATGGGATATAGCCCTAGAAGGCAGGGGGGCCCAAGACTATTGGTTGATATTCAAGGATCACTTGCTACAAGCTCAGGAGTGTTGCATCCCAACTAGAAGGAAGTGCAGCAGGAGGGCCCGGAGACTTCCTTGAATGGATAGGGAGCTCCTGAGGAAAATTCAAATGAAAAAAGAGGCTTATAAAAAGTGGAAGCAAGGACAGGCGGCCTGGGAAGAGTACGGGGATGTTGTCCAGGAAACTAGGGACCAGGTTAGGAAAGCTAAGGCCCAGTTAGAATTAAACTTGGCTAGGGATGTTAAGGATAACAGGAAGGGATTCTACAGGTATATAGCAAATAAAAAACACACTAGGGAGAATGTAGGCTTCCTCAGGAAGCTCTCAGGAGAACTAGCTACACCGGATTTGGAGAAGGCTGAGGTTCTGAATGACTTTTTTGCCTCGGTCTTCACTGGCAAAGGCTCTGACCACACCACCCAAGACTTGGAAGGCAGACGCAGCGACTGTGAGAATGAAGACCTTGCGCCCACTGTAGGAGAGGATCTGGTTTGAGACCATCTTAAAAATCTGAACGTGCACAAATCCATGGGTCCTGATGAAATCCATCTGTGGGTCCTGAAGGAGCTGGCGAATGAAGTTGCTAAGGCACTGGCCATCATATTTGAGAAATCATGGCAGTCAGGTGAAGTTCCCGATGACTGGAAAAAGGGAAATATAACCCCCATTTTCAAGAAGGGGAAAATGGATGACCCAGGGAATTACAGACCAGTCAGTCTCACCTCTGTGCCTGGCAAAATCTTGGAGCAGATTCCCCTGGAAGGCATGCTAAGGCACATGAAAATCAACAAGGTGCTTGGTGACAGCCAGCATGGCTTCACTAAGGGGAAATCCTGCCTGACCAATTTGGTGGCCTTCTATGATGGGGCTACGGAACTGATGGGCAGGGGTAGAGCAGTTGATGTCATCTACCTGGACTTGTGTAAAGCGTTCGACACTGTCCCACACAACATCCTTGTCTCTAAATTGGAGAGACATCAATTTGATAGGAGGACCACTTGGTGGATAAAGAACTGGCTGGATGGCTGCACACAAAGAGTTGTGGTCAATGGCTCAATATCGGGCTGGAGACCAGTAACGAGTGATGTTCCTCAGGGATTGGTGTTGGGACCAGTCTTGTTTAACATCTTTGTTGCTGATGTGGACAGTGGGATTGAGTGCGCCCTCAGCAAGTTTGCCGATGACACCAAGCTGTGTGGTTCAGTTGATACGCTGGAGGAAAGGGATGGCATCCAGAGGGACCTTGACACGCTTGTGAGGTGGGCTGATGCCAACGTCATGAAGTTTAACCATGCCAAGTGCAAGGTCCTACACCTGGGTGGGAGCAGCCCCAGGCATAGCTAAAGGTTGGGCAGAGAAGCGATTCAGAGCAGCCCTGTGGAGAAGGACTTCGAGGTGCTGGTCAATGAGAAAATGAGCATGAGCCGGCAGTATTCGCTTGCATCCCAGAAACCCAACCGTATCCTGGGCTGCATCAAAAGGACCATGACCAGCAGGTGATCCTGCCCCTACTCTGCTCTTGTGAGACCTCACCTGGAGTATTGTGTGCAGTTCTGTTGTCCTCAACATAAAAAGGACATGGAACTGTTGGAACAAGTCCAGAGGAGGCCACAAGGATGATCAGGGGACTGGCGCACGTCCTATATGAAGATAGCCTAAGAATGTTGGGGCTGTTGAGCCTGGAGAAGAAAAGTCTGTGTGGAGATGTCAGTATCTGAAGGGGGCTATAGGGATGCTGCAGAGGGACTCTTCATTAGGGACTGTAGTGACAGGACAAGGGGTAACGGGTTAAAACTTAAACAGGGGAAGTTTAGATTGAATATAAGGAGAAAATTCTTTCCTGGTAAGGTGGTGAGGCACAGGAATAGGTTGCCCAGGGAGGTTGTGAATGCTCCATCCCTGTCAGTGTTCAAGACCAGGTTGGACAGAGCCTTGGGTGTTATGGTTTAGTGTGAGGTGTCCCTGCCCATGGCAGGGGGGTTGGAACTTGATAATGTTAAGGTCCTTTCCAACCCTAACTATTCTGTGATTCTATAAGCCAAAGAGGTTGAGATCCATCTCACTTCTGGAAATTTAAATATTGCATACATAGAGAGCAATTATGGTCTTTCTATTTGTTCGATAATCGTTTGGATGCCTTAGAACATCTTTTGGCAACTATAAGATGGGACTATGGGAGACTTCATGCTTGTGGACCAGACACTGGAGGCTAGATGGTGTATCACCTTCTAGAGGTACCTGTCTTCCTCCTTTGATTATAGTCTAAGATGATAGCCAAGCTGCATAACTTTAATTCCCGTCTGTTACTTTTTGTACCTGAATGCGGCAATTATCTCTCGATATTAGCTCCCAGAACCCAGAAACATTCCCACAGTGGGTACTACAATGAAAGTAAAATCTCCTATTTTAACTTCCAATACCATCAGTTCTGGTGCCCAGTGATCCAGACAGTATCTATAAAAGGAGCTGAAATACAATTAATATCTAAGCACAGCTGTGTCTTCATGATGTTGTGTAAGCACTTTCTTAAAGATGAATGAGGCAAAAACATACATTGAAATCAGATCTCTCTCTGTTTCTGGTCCATGTTCCCCTCTCAGAATCAGTGAAACTGATTGGGTACTTTAACAGAAAATTAACTCACTAGTTAACCAGTGTCAGGACCAGTTCTTTGGCCCTGAATACACTTGTTATCTCTTAGCCGTATATACCATTAATTTCTCTTAATCTCCCAAAGAAGATGATCACGTGCATATACTTACCGAAAAGAATACCTTTCTTGTGTTAATTCCCAAACAGTGTCCAGAAATGGTTTAGAAGAAGGTCAATAGCATGGGTCAAATGCAGAATAGGTACCGTACTACCAGTTTAAGAACAAGAATGATTAAGATACTTTTTGCATGTTTATTTAGTAACATGTTTTTACTTCCTAGTGTGGATGTGGCTGTATATTCACTATCATAATAAGACCTATTTATTACTATGCAGCAGGAGTGCATATAATTGGCAGGTCATGTAGGTCCCATCCTCATCAGAGCAGTTGTTATAACACTGCTTAAGTGCAGGTTGTCATACCCCGTAAGACAACAAGTATCTTCTAACCTAGAAAAGACATCAAACTTCTTTCAGTTCTGGGCCTTTGCTACTTTCTCAGCTTTCATGAACCTCTCGTGGTCTCTGAGTTTATGTCCTTTGGGATTTTCTTAATCTTTTCTCTAGCAGTTCTCCAGTTCCTGCCTCAGAGGTTTCTGTAATAACTTCTTACCTGAGACTCCTTGTTTTGTTGTTGTTGCTGTTGAATACAAACCAATACAGTCTAAATCAGAAAGTTGTGCTATCAGTATAATGTAACCCAGGTAGAATATCAATCACAAATTTATAACAATTTAGATTGGAAGTAAATTCTGGATATCATATAGTCCACCAAACCATCAAAACAAGTCTATCTAACCAGTTCAGGTTGTTCTGGGTCATGACTAGTTCTTGTGTCTCAGTTAGTTCTTTACCCAGACTAATTCTGGTAGGTATTCTGTCTTTGAGCATGGACACAAAGGCATGTGAGGCATTTTCCATATGACAGGAATTTGACAAAGTTGCTGAATTAGTAACACTGATCAACTTTCAGACAGAGAACAGCATTTGCTGACCAGTGAATCACAATTAGTTTGATATTGCCTATTAGTCTTGCATATAAATTTGAATATATGTGGTTTTGAAGACAGCTTTACTGCACTGTGAATCAAGGCCGCACCTGCAATTTAGAAAAGGGGTGGTGATGTGTAGAAAATGGCTGGCAACAGGCTTCAGAACAGGAGACAACCACTTTCAGCACCTGCATTCCCAGGCCTGGGTCTCTAATAACCCAAGGGTTTTTATCTTCTGAACATGACAGGAGGTGTCCCTTTTCACTCTTTCCCTGAAGAAAAGTGACTCAAGAACACTGGTTTTATATGGGTGAATGGGGTTTGTATTTTGTTGGGGGTTTTTTGGTTTGTTTGGTTGTTGGGGTTTTTTTCATTGACCTCTTAACCTGTACACTAATTGCAGGGAGAGAGAGAAATTTCATAGAAATGTGACTTTGGATAGAAATCCTGAACCAAACTACAGCAGCAGTAATAACTTTAAGTTTACAGACATCCAGAAATTATGTGCACATTGCACTTTTGGAAAATATATTACATGTGGGATAGCTTGTGTCCCTAGGGTGAGCATTCTGCTGCTTTCGTGACCCATAACTCAAGAGTGTGGCAGGCATTAGCACTTTACAAAACATCTTCATTCTTCAAGGCTGAAACAGAACCCCTAGCATACAGAGTATCTTACTTATTCAGCAGTGATTTGAGTCACTGTGTTTTAAACACTAACTTTACATGGTCAGTATCCCAGATAGATGAAGGGGGAAAAAAAAGAGGCAGTGGAAATGTATCTAATTTTTTATTAAATACATCACTGTTGCAGTCTGACTTGTACTGTAACGGGAAATTACACACCATAAAACAGTAAGAAGAATGGATCTGATGCATAATACAGGAGCCTGCCTGGAGAAGAATGCGTACCACATGAAACTGTAAATACATACATACAAATTCATACACGTTTGCACTTTGGGAAAACAGATTTTTGCACCATGTCTCTTGAATCAAAAGAAGGAAATGCATTGATATGTCTTTTTTTATTTGCCCTATTCTCTCCTTTGCCAATATCAGAGGGCATCCCCTAGTCTTTTTTATCATAGTCACTAAAACATTAAAAAGAAATGGTTTCTGTTGATACATAGAAATACTCTGAAACTTCTCTTGTTCCAGGGAAACAAGTAGGTTGGGCTTTAGCATCTAATGCTACTTCCTTGACATTTCTGTTTTAGGCCAAGAAGCCAGAAAAACAACAGCACTTAAAGGAACCTTGTATTAGTTTAAGTTCTGAGGGAAGGTAAGTCGTTTTTGGTTCAAACATCAAACAATCTTAGGATGATCACTCTCTATAAAACATAAATGATACCTTTTTTCAGAATTTTCAGAATTGGACTTGGAAGAAAGTTTTTAGTCAAAACTTCTTTGAAAAAAATGAAGACTCTCAGTGAATAATGAAATATTTCATGCTTTTGTTTTATTTTTTTCACATTGGTAAGGCAGAAACCTTACCTTTCAGATGATACACTAAAAATATATGACCTTTATTTATTTATTTATTCTTTATGTAGAAGACTCTTCAATTTAAGATAATATATATTTTATTTTTTTACAAGTTTAAAATGAATACAATTGTCAGAAGTGAAATTAAAGCTTACTTATTTGAGTTGAACAATTCAGTTTATTCAACTTTACTTAAAGTGAAACTTGCCTTTTTGTTTTGCCAGAATGTTATTTTCCTCAGGTAACACCCTTTATACATATATCAGCAAACTGCATAAATCCACTGCTTGTCCACTCCTAAACTATTTGCCACTTTAGGCTTTATATATTAGCTCTCCTACTTTTCAATACTTTTCAATTATTGAATCATTTATTGAATTATTTCAATTATTGAATTCTTGGATTTTTTAAATTCTTTTCCATTATTGAATTTAATCCTGAACACTTGAAGACCCTGTGACTTCCCTGACAGGACTAGGAAATGCAAGAATATTCAGTGTTTTGGTACTTGAAATGTCCTTTTGCATAGGTGCATCATATTTTATCTAGCCAAACAAGGTATCTCAGATTGGTGTCAGCAGTTAACATCAAGGTGTCTGCAATTAACAAAAGACTGACTTTTTTCCCTTGTGATTTTTTTTTAAAAGGATTTTTGCTTCTCAAGTGTTATCTGCTTTTAGATAGAAAACAAACCAAATAAACCAAAGCAAAAACAACAAAAGAGAAACAACAAAACAAGCTTGTTTTGACAGTGGAAAACAACACTTTTTTTTTTTTTTATTCAAAGAGGTGAATATTTTCCATAAATATTCTCACTTTGAACAAGGAGCTGATTTCCATTCCAAGCTGTTTAAAGGGAAAACGTTCAGAGCAGTCTAAGAAGCTTTAGGTGACTGCGTTTCACTGATGGTTGAAGCGAAAGCTTGAGAGACATCACGTTCATAAGGCTTTACAGGATCCTTGGCTAAGGCACCTGCTTGCTAAATATTAGATGCTAATGTTTAATATTATTTTATCTTTGCTTTTTTTCCTTTGTTTGTTATAAATCAGAACCATATATAAGAAATGTGCTCGTATATTTGCAAACTGCATGGTTCAGTTCATGCTGGGATTGTGCAGCAATAGAATAGCTCAGTTTAGCTATGAAGAGATAAACATGAGCTGAATACATCAGTTATGACATTGTCGTATCAACAACAATCAAGGGGCACCAGGGTAAAGTATCTTTAATTTTAACTGATTAATTTTAATAGCATGCAGAGTCCCATTATTCCTTATACCACCTGTCTTCCCTGCCCTTAATCCCACAAGTAGAAAGTTCATATCTAGCTTTACTTACAGAGGCAGAATAGCTGGGACTAACTAGAGAGAGCAGAGTTTCCTGCCCAGCAAAGCTTAACATAAGATCAAATGCTTTGCTGAAGAAAAGTCAAACAGCCTAATCCTAATTTTCTGTTCTGGTAGAATAAAATTTGATGAGATATAGATTTTTAGAATAATTTTGTAGTCACAGTGTGAATGTTTCCTGAATTCTACACTGATATCACTAATCATAATGATAATTTTATTGCAGTGAAATTAACTGTACTGTATAGCTTTGCAAAAGAACAAGCTACAGTAAACCATATGTAAGGTATAAATGCAGTGTAAGAAGTATGTTATCACATGTTCTTTCCACTAATAGCTCTGGATAGATGCATTATGCTGAATGGTATTAAAACTTCAGTTTTCAAAACCTGAGCTGAGAGAATAAACCCACATTTCTTGCTCCTGTACTCTTCTTTAGCACCTGTTTCTGGAACTGGCTTGTTTTACCAATGAACCATTTTGTCTGTCAACTTAGATTAGGTTGAATTAGTTCTCATTTTGATAACTGACAAAGATCATCTTTGACAACACCAGTGATCTCACATGTCCTGACAAGGGCACATATTCAAAGTATATTAAAAAGAAAGAAAAGTTTTATAAATTGCGAGGAATGCAATTATCAAGGTAACACTTTGGTTCTTTTTTGGATATACAAAGTCCTGAATGAGTTTTTTTTTTTTTGTTTTCTGCTGTACTTTATAATTGGCAGAAAAAGCAGGTAGGCAGGCAAGAAATAAACAGGAAAACAAATAATAAGTTCATTAACTTCTGTCTCAACTGGCGTATATGTTAAGGACTGGAACTGCTTTAAACTCTGCTCTCACTTTTACTAGTACAACATTCAAGTGTTTTTTTTTCATGAGAAAATCTGTCTCTTTAGGCACATCCAAACTCAATCCCACCACATGGTGGGACAAGACACAGCCTGGAAGTTACATATGTATATAGTTATTTTCCTTTCTTGGGAAATTTATTATTGGTAGAATACACATTCTTTAAGTTGAGCACCTGATTTCCTTTACTGAATCAGAACCGTGAGCGGTTTTTGCAAGGTGAAACCCATTCTTATGGGTACATGAGAAATTCCCTGCTGGAGAGCTCCAAAGACATTTGTGTCATGTCTGTGGTACAAAAGCCTTTGTACAGGACCCATTCATGAGGGGTAAATGTCATTTCCAGTAGAATAAATTGTTCAAGGAGGCAGAGGAATGCCTATCATTTTTGTTTCTCCTGACTAGACCTGACATTCATCTGTTGGTGTCAGGGATGGTTTAAGGATAGTGAAATGCATCTTCTGTCCTCCCATCATTCAAACAACCAAAATGCCTGTTAATCCTTTAACCAAGAAGATACTTCATAGAAAACAAGATAGAAGCCCTCAAAATAGGGAGCTTTTAAGATGAATATATTTATCTCTCAATATAAATCCACTTTTGTTTGTTTTCACTACTGAAAAAAATTACATCTCCAAAATTAGTAATGACTGGTAACATTCAATTCCTTATCTTTTTGTGTCCCTACCCTCACATAACCCATCTCATTGTTTAAGGATATGTGATGGGATTGCTACTTCCACCACTAAGACATGGCTATCTCGGAGTATTCAACAAACTCTGTAACATCTACAAATCTGCCAGAGAAAGAAATTATATCTAACAAGCTTCAGAATCAGTTATATATAAATAATTTTTTAGGAGTTATCTTCTCTTGGTTTTCTCTGAAATTTGGAAATGGAATCATTAAATATTTTAAATATAGCTCAGAAATGTTGTTACGTTGATTATTTTTAAAGGAGAATTAAAGATATGGATCTACTTGCATGAATGTATGTAAGCTTTATAATAGTTTTGTATTAGGCCGTGCATAATACAAAATGTAATAAAAGTCCAGAATGGCTGTGGGGATATTAGTCCACTTTGCGCAGAAGATCAGGTTTGCATGGGTTGATTTAGCAGTGCCTTTCTAGTTTAATCATGTCGCTTATTTCTGACACCCCAGACTACTAATCTGCTGCGTCTGATTTCTAGTTCACATATAATGGTCATATATCGAAGCGTGCAGCTTGACAGTTCTCTGCTCATGAGCTTGGATCTTTAATATTCCAGAACTGGGTATAAAAATATCATGTATTCTGCTCAGTGCTTAGCAAAGCTCAGGCTGATGGTGATTTGGTTTCTCCCAATGATGTTGGAACAAGCATGCAAGACAAAGGTACAAGATGCTTTACCACATCACACATGTCATTCATTATTACAAGAACAATTCTGTAAAAACCCTGCAGAAGAGGTTGCAGTGTAAAGGGCTTCACATTCTTTTTAATCTTTGTTCACTTGCCACTTGCATGGCATGTCAGCATTGTCATACATCTGGAGCATCAAATTGTGACTGCACACCCAGCCTAACTCTAGTGAACATGTTAGAAAGACTGAAGAAGGGATTAAATAGAAATCCTACCATTGATTTTAGCTACAGCATGGCCATGTCAGTGGCGCATGAGGTGGAAAATTTCACCTTGTTGATGTCAGCTATATGTCTAGTCTAGATTAGTTGCGTACTCTTCATCTATAGCTAATGGAGAAGGATGGGTAACTCCTGGAGTGCTTAGTCCCTCCTGTCTTAGATATTGGTTGTAAGAATGAGTTGACTCACCCTCTGAAAGTGCCAATGTTGACAGTGCAAGGATGATCAATAAAGAACATGTAAATGCTGCATGAGTAATACAAAGTCAGGTGAATCCACTCTTCCAAATCTTATTCTAAATCCCCAGCCCCGATTTCTTCAACAACAAATGCATTATCATCTTCTGTGAAAAATGAGGCTAAGGATAAACAAACTGCATCAATAAAAGTCACCGGGTGAGGCTTAACAGATGGTGATGGGGAACTGGAAAGAATAAATAAACTTTGAGTTCAGTGTGAGTAGTGAAAAAGGAATTTTGATTTCTGGTGTCACAGCTGTTCATTGGGTTTCTCAAATTCATATCTAAAATAAAACAAAACAGTCTTAATTAAAAATGTCTAGTGATAAAGAATTCATCATAACACTTGCTATGTTATTGCAGTGATTAACTATTAACTACTTCGTCTCTTACAAGTGATATCTGTAACATCTCTTTACATTTGCTATGAATTTACCTAGGTTTGGCTTTTTATTATTTATACCTGTATCTTCCAATATTTCATGTTGTCTTAACATGAAAATTATTAATTAGGCTAAAGGACTTATCAGAGTTTGATGCATTTGAAGATTCCTTTCCTTTCCCCAATTAGCCCATTAACCCCTCAACTATCATTTCATTAAGTAAATGGGAGGGCTGTGTAAACCGGTTAATACTTATTAACAGTTTTATGCCAATTAGTAAGGAATGTATTTTTCCTATGCAAGGGCCAAACAGCCCTCCAGTCTTTTTTGTATACACTTGTTTTCTTTTAATTTGGCTAGTGAAAGTAGCAGGTGTTGAAGGCTAAGTGCTGTATGCAGTCTGAGGTTGTTCAAATCTACTTATTAGGTGATCACTTTAGATGGAAATTCTCACTGGAAAGCAGAATTCCTTCATTATTTTGGTCAGTCTATAAAATGTCTCTTTGCTAATAATATACTTGCTGAACTTTGCTGCAGAAGTGCACAACAACATACTTTTATCCCACATAGGCACACTTTATTGTGAAGATTGTTGTTTCAAAGGCATGTACACAAAATATTGCACTAAAAGGCTCACTGCCTCAGACAAAAATCAAATAAAACTTGGTTAGTTGATCTGTCCATGCCTATAGGGTATTAGTGATTATAATATTGAGCTTTAATGGACTATGGACCCAATTTACATAACATTTACATGTTATCTACATACTCTTTATGGAATAAAACCCAGTGATTCAGACACAAAAAATATCTAAGACATACAGATGTACTCTTCAGACTGATTTCTTTTTTGCTCTTCAGCTTCAAGCTTAAAGTTTTGACTTTACCTCTTCCCACTGGAACCTAAAAGCAGGGTATAATGATCACTGCTGCACCACTACCAGTACTCATCATGGAACAATGGCCATTAAATGCTTACTGAACCAAAAAAAACATTACAATTTCGAGAAAATTACTTTTCAAGTAAAAATGTAAATTTAATACAACAGTTACTTTTTTCAGATATTTCTACTTTTCTGTGTTTCCTACATGGAAAGTCCGTGGCATGGCTAGAAACAGAGGGTTTTTAAGCTTGCTCACAATGCTTCTGCACTTTTGATCTGAATTTAGGGAAAGTGGAGGACTGAACTGTGGTACAACCACAGTGCAAAACAACAGGCTTTCTGCATGGTAACTGCTAATCAAAGATAATATTTAGGATTTTCTGTTCAAGAAAGAAATGCAAGGAAACCCTTTATTAATTTGCTGGGATATCTTTGTCATTTAAAGCTTTGGAAGAAAATGCCCAGATCTTCTAAAGGGAGAAGATGCTCCAGTTATGTGCCAGTGGTTGCTGAGTTGACTGTCCTGGTGTCTGGAGGCCTGAACCTTGAAAGAAATCCACAGAAGCCACACAGAAGCTATGCAAGGTTACTGTGACTCCTTTGAGCTAAAAATAAAATGGGTACCTCAGGGCAGTCACTGATTTTTATGTTTTAATCAACCTGTGTATCCATAATAGCTCTGGTAATAATTGGAAAGTAAAATTTTCAAGGCCAAAGGGATACAGTCTTAAGCAGGACACATCCTGTGCCAAGGATGAAGGTTCACTTATTATACAATAAACACAAAGTCAAAATAATTTTAGAATTCAGATAGGAACTGAGAGATTTGGATTCTATGTCTTCCTGATCTGTGTTTGGGACCAGTACATTTGATATAATACCTGAAACACTGCATGACATAGCATACTATGCAGCATAGATGCATAGAGCAAGCAGCTTTTGACTAGATGAGTTTATAAGTTGAGGATCAACTCAAGGGGAATAAGGAGAGTCTCACTAAAAACTAAGACATTTGAGGAAAGTGGTCATACTTCACACTTTACAGTTAGGACAACAAAGATAAAGTGGTAACTAATGATACAGCCTTGACCCAAACTACCACACAGAGTGTCAGTGACAAGAGGTCACTGGAAGCAAAAGCTGTTGGATATGGTCTCCTTTTACATATATTGGCACTAGATTTAGGTAGAAAGTATTTTGTTCATAGAGTTCATAGTTGAGAAGATAGGCAGAAAGATGGTGCTGAATAATAAGATGAGTTCAGATAGTGATGGTGTAAGAGACAAGATTTGTGGGTAATTCAGGATGTTTTGATAACCACTAAACAAGGAGAGTGCAAGACTTTGAGCAGATGCCTGTGAAACTATAAAAACAAGGTAAAAGAAGAGTTTCTTCATTGGAAAAGTGAGTTGAAAAACAAGTTTTCTGAACAAGAGAACTGTGGAAAGAAATGGTCTGAACAACAGGTGGAAAATTAAAAAAAAAATTAAAAAAAATCTGCCTTACAAAAGATTATGAGACACTGGAGAAAATCCTAACAAGAAATTAAGCTGGTGTGCAGCTGTTTGTGAACAGAAAATGAAAAAGTTCTACAGACAGAAGGAGAAACAGAAAAGACAGAATGAGGTTCACAGAGTTCATGATAGCTCTACAAAAATGTGTTTTGCTGTGAATGTTTGTTGGGGAGAACTGCAAGACCTATCACAGGAATGAGTAGAGAGAAAAAAACCTGTGTGTTCTGCCAGGAAAAAAGCACAGAAGGTGTAAAAAATAAACTGTATGAGAAGAATAACTCGGTTATCTCTTCTCCAGTGAGTTCCTGGGCACCCTGCTTTTCCCAGCTGGGGAAAATGAGGCATATTAATTAATGTGTGGCTGGTCTTGCAGTAGACTAGGGAAAGAAGTATGAGTAAAACAACCCCTGTCTAACTTTAGGCAAATAACTCTCTCCATTGACTGTTGAATAGACCATGCTTTCTCCAGTGACAAATGTTTGAGTTCTGTCATGTTTTGAATACTGTTGCCAACACTCTATTATTGCTGTTGATGTACGGTGGGGTTATTTGGCAACACAGCCACAAGTTGTTAACTCTGAAAACCTGATTGACATATTCATCTAAATAATTTGCACACCAATAAACCTTTGTACTTTTTTGGAGGGAGAATATAAACTATCCCCTGTATTGTGAACAGCAGA